CTTAGGGCCCCCAAAGGTCTAGGGCCGGCTCTGAACGCAGAGATGGGCTATTGATGCGAGTTTTTTTTTACTCAACCGATTTGTCTGTTTGCTTACTCACCAAATCAGGCAACAAATATAGTTTTGGGAAAATAAATTAATCTCGCCTATTGTTTCCACGTGTGCCGCTGGACGGGAAGTTAAGGGCGGGGTCTTGATTATGTTATTGACGTCATCAGCCGAGCCAAGCGGGGGGGCGTGGTTTGTTTGTTTCTAGGGTTTCCCGCCTTCGGGAGGCAAGGTGATGATCGTGGTGGCCGCCACTCTAAAAATAAATCCCCAGTAATGAACCAGAGGAAAAAAATAGTTGATTAAAATGCTTCAGCGGTTCATTGACTCAGGAATGTTGTGATTTAAAGTTACGTTGCAAATGCCAAAATTTATGTTTTTGTGAGGTCGAAATCAATTGAACCAAGTGACTTTAAGGAAACACCTACATTTAGAGTGCTGGTGATAGCCCAGCAATCTTCGCCTAATTTAAAAGTGGTTTAAATACAGTAACATGTATGTAGTCAATGAAAAGGGGGGCGGGGAGTTTGCTTATAAACCAAAGCATGTCTTGCACACACAGCACTTTCATTTATCAATGTGTGTTGTCGTATTTTAAAGCTATATTCAATAACGTGTGGCTTGGTCGATACTGTACTCAAATATTACATTGCATTTTTATTTTATTTTACAGGCCTAAGCACAAGACCACGATGGCACATAACACGCGGATGTAGCAGCATGTATGTCTTCAGTGGGATTGAGAATCGATGGTTGACATTCATGTTAAGGGCCCAACATCAGGGACTCCTATTCACACGTTTAAGTATCAGATATAATTATGTATCTATCTATCTGCCTTCAATATCCTCATGGTTCTGATACATTTTTTGTATAAATCTACCCCCAAAGTCGTATCTGAATGTTGATTTTTGAAAAGTGTTAAGTGAGTGATCCATTTGCATTTTTATACTGGATTGCTAGGAGCAAGGTTATGTTGATTCATGGTAATTAAAATCCTGTCCGTGAAGCACATTGTTTTGTAATTTGTCCTGAGCAATTCAGCAGTTCCCCATGGCTTTTAATGGAAGACTAGAGCACAATGATGATGGTGTCAGCAGTTTTTATTTCGGCTGTTTCCACCTTATTCTACTCACATTCAGACAATAATAGTAATCGTTTGTTAAAAGTATACAGTATATTTTTTCATCATTTTATTCCATTTGTGGATTTCATGTCATATCATGAGAGTGTAGTGTCGTCTGTGCGTGCGGGTGGCGTGCGTCGCACACACAGTCAGCCGGAGACGAGGTGGTTGCAGGAGGCACCGCTCTGCCCTCTTTATCGTTGTTGTTGCCGAGCTCACGCCACCATTCGGGCCCCCTCTCTCACACACGACCCCGCTGCCGCGCAACCCGTCCCCGACACGACCCTGCCCGCGTCGACCGAGACAGCCAACCGCTGTCCGGCCGCGCAATGCCCGGGCGAAGGCGGCTGTGACGAGGGCGGCGACGAGACGAATCCAATCCCAGAACCGTCAGCCCAGAGCTCTCGCTCTCCGCTGCTTTTATTCACCTCGGCGCGGCTTGGCTCTGCCCGAGCCGCACCTTTCTTCTCGAACCCTCTAGAGGGTTCCAGGGGCTTCCACACGAGGTTTATCGTGACAACTTGCCCCAGTTCCTCCGCCCTGCCGGCACACACACCGTGTATATGCTCAGCGGCGTGTGCACTAAGTGCCCACCTGCAGTTGCTGTTGCTGTCCAACAGTCAGCGCTATGTCACTACACATGTACATTTAACAAAAGCAGTGGATCACCCACTGAGAGATTGGCATTTGGAAGGTTATATTGAAGAACTGCAGAGATCCTTTCAAATGAGCTCTCATCCATTCTCTGATTCTGGACGATACGTTCAGCAGATGGCAACCAAAGCCAACATTTTTGCTGACCAATGCTCAGAGCTTGGATCTGGCCAAAATAATTCTCATGGGAGGGTTTTTGCCAAATTAAATTTTATATGATGGGCTTTTTGGTCAGTCACTGGTGACCAGGGTAAGACCATAAATACCTTAGAAGAATGATTCTTAACCTTTACTGCAACCTTGCACCCCTTTGGTTCTCAGTCTTTTAAAAAATGTATAAATATTAATAAATACAAAGGTTTTATGAAACAGGAGTTGTACTTACGTGTCCGTGCTTAATTTGTGCTTCGATTATGTACCTTCTAAACATATCTGGACATGTCTCGCACTCCCAGAAAGGGCATCTCGCACCCCCAGGGAGTGCGTGCACCCCAGGTTAAGAAGAAGAACCACTGCCTTAGAACATAGTTTAATTACAGGTTCAAACCCAGGACGTCGGCAGCTCTAGCTCAATGCTTCAATGGCCTCTAGATGGGCTTTCTGGAGCTTTTTCGCGAGCAGCGGCATGAGGGAATTAAAGAAAGGGCTTTACATTTGTGTGGTTTTATCAGCGTGTGGTTGTGGGCTCACGCAAGAGCAGGCTGGCGGTTTTTATGGCAAATTGATTTTGAGAATTCAGTGGAAATGCCTAAACTCCATCAATGTGTTGGGCCAGTTCTCCCTAATGAAACGCTGTGATGAGATATGATGTGTAAATCAACGAGACAACTGCAGTTGCAGCATCACAGTGTTACACGCAAGTTATTTTGGCACCAATACAAAATATTACTACGCCATAAAAGCAGATGTATCTCTCGGCTACTCAATGCCACAATTATGTCTCCCTTGCTGCTCACTAACTGCGCTTCCGTGCCAAAGAAAGTCCACTTTCGTGATGCAAAGCCTTTCCCTATGGGCAACTTACAGCACATTCCTACCTCAATTGCCACCGGCTATGACTTAAAGTAAATGCTTGTCATTGTAACGTTTTTTTTTAAAAAAACAGATATGTATATAAAGCTACTGCAGTCTTCCAAATCGCTTACACGTGAACATCAACTGTGTGACAATTTTCTTTTTTAAATAATTGTATAACATTTTTTTCCCAACACGTATATTATAAGTTTCTAGAGTACAACTCTCCGTGTAACTAAATATGGTCAAGGGCGCTTTGGGGTGGAGCGGTGGCAGAGCGGTTAGCACATTACGCAATGAACACAGTGGCCCAAACTTGATTCCTGGCCACGGAAAACATCCGTGGTGAGTGTACTCCCCCCCCCTACCTCTTCCAAGTCGTCTGGCTAGCATGGAAGAGTAAGCCAAATACCCTCCAGTGGGGCTCTCTAGAGCTCCCTGTAATAAAGAATCCTCCACCAGCAGTAGTGCGAGCAAGCGGTTGCAGGCCTGCACCTTTACCATGTACGAAAATAACTGCTTACTTTACACACTGCAAGGCCACGCGGTGTGGTGGCTACGGTGGTGTATGATGGAGCATGACAGGGTGTCCGGTGAGTGCTTGCATAATCACTTACAGGTCATTTCAAACGCCCCACCCTTTTTTCCTGTATGGCATTAGCACCATTGCGATAGCATCATCATCATCAACCATGGTCAATCCGCCGCTCATGATCTTGCAGATGTTACAACCCGCCTTGTGCCCTGTACACACACTGATCCTATCGCTCAATGTCTTCTGGGAACATCCTCTTTGGACGGATTCCATTCCTATTCTGCAGTCCTGTTATTATTCTTGCCCATCGACAATAATTTCTGTCGTGATTTCTTCAATTTAAAATGCAAAGATGACAAACGAGTATTCCTTCGTATGCATGTATGTATGTTAAACCTATGTTGCACCGTACGTAGCCAACCGTGCGAATCGAGGTTGCATTTGTAACCTCTCATTAGGTTGCATGTGGCCTTTCCTCGCCACTGCAACTGTGTACAAGGGCTCAACTTTGTATTTTAGTTCTCGAGTTGAAGTAGAATTGTAAAAACATCCTTCAACAGGTATATTGATCTTAGTAAAGCCCTACCATGAGTGCACAGAGTAATCTCTCCATAAAAATCCAATATTATTTGTATTTCTAGAAATATACACTCTGTCCGTTAAGACATTTTAATCCAGAGCACTGATCTATGCACGACCACAGTATCGTGGGAACAATTTAATGTCACGTGGATGTGACATGCCAATTAATTATCTAAATAGCGTTCCGGATAAAATTAACCGCTGATTACACTGAATATCATGTCAGCACGTCACATATCTTCACGCCAGCACAAGTCTCATTTGATAAGCGATAAGCATTCTCGGTGAGATACCGTGCTGTGTCGCAATGTGTTACCTTCGAACAGGTAAAATCCCGTGTGTGCGTGACATGGTATCATGAAAAAGATTTAAAAGACCATGGTCAGGATATTTTAAATGAGTCTTATCAGAATGGACTCTGCTGCCGCTCGCATGAATGAATGCATTTTACCGTCCATGCGCTATGTCGAAAATATACCAGGCAAGTTAAGGGGGCGTACTACAGAGCCCATTCTGATGATGGTGCGTACTTTCTTGGCTGCCGGAAGTAACGATTACATATCAAACGCGAGTGAACAACATCACAGCTGGATTGATATTTTTTTTTCAAATCAACACCACTTGTGTTTAAATTTCGATTTAAAGCTTTCGTGACTGCAGGGATTCATCTTCTTGGTTCTTTCGGTAAAGTCACGTAGAAGGGAAATAATAAAATAATAAAAATAAAACATAATAAAATACAATTCTCACGACGTTTCGGCCACAACGCAAGCAGCCGTCCTCAGGTGAAGAAAAGGTCTGTCTTTCCGACAGTCACTTCCGACAGCCCTGTTCTTCACCTGAGGACGGCTGCTTGCGTTGTGGCCGAAACGTCATGAGAATTGTATTTTATTATGTTTTATTTTTATTATTTGATTATTTCCCTTCTACGTGACTTTACCGAAAGAACCAAGAAGACCACTTGTGTTTGTCCATTTATACAGCCGTCCGATTCCGACATATCTCCTCAGGTCACAAACCTTGCACTTTAAACCTTTGCCCTGGTGGAAGCTAAACGATGCAGGGGGCCCGTTATAAATGAGCAAGCGTATTTAAATCAAATTCCAGACAAAGAACGCTGACTATCTAATCTACTTATGGTAAGACTTTGCACCCAGTCTTTGCTCTTAAATGTCCAGCGCATCGGTTGTGGCATAGATGAGTAAAGACAATAACAGGATTCCTCCTTTGCAGTGCTAGGTAGAAGTTGTTGGGTACACCGAGGACGATGCTGGCGCTGGGAGGAGAGTGGGGATCGGGGCGCCGGCTCCTGGCGCTCGCGCTCTGTGTCGCGTGCGCGGGATCGAGCGCGCTGCCGTCGCACAGAGGGCAGCCGCAGAAGCTGCTGCTCGTCTCGTTCGACGGATTCCGCTGGGACTACGACCAGGACGTGGACACCCCGAACCTGGACCACCTGCGCACCATCGGGGTCGCGGCGCAACACATGGTGCCGCCTTTCGTCACGATGACTTCTCCATCGCACTTCACCCTCGTCACTGGTAACCCTTCAGCACCTCTGAGCCGGATCCCTCGATGATTCATCTCGAGGCTCGTTCATAAATACAAACACGATGACATCTCCGTCGCACTTCACCCTAGACATAGGTACGCTCTCAAAGCCCTCTTTCAAAGCTCACTTAGTCCCACTTCTTCTTCCCGCTTCTCGATTTCGTGAGCAACCGATTTTTTTAAATTGCAAGAAGTGACATCAAGGAAAGTCTAGGTTCGTTGGCCATTCAGTGGTGCAGGCTGTCAACTGGTGAATTGCTTTGGTGCTGCCATTCATTGGTCTTGGTGGGCATTGGGCAGTTGACCATGTGCTCAGTCGTTTGTTCTGCTCCAGAGTCGTGGGTGGAAGTATCCTTTATCTTCCACTCATACAAAAGGCGAGCGCATCACCCGTGCGATGTCCAAATGTGATTCAGCGTGGTTCGCAGTTTGCAGGGAAGCCCTGCTGAGACCCCTGGGTTTGCATGCAGATTTCAGTCTCCTGGAGTTAAAATAGGTTCTCAAGTGTAGTAAGGAGTGAGTTCGTGGTCTCAGCCAGGTCACCAACGGCTGCATAAAGCAACCTATCGCATTACGTTTAGTTCTGCGCTTTAGGTAAATTGCAGCTCTGAGGTTTAACAATATTGGTTTGACTGGAATGTGACGAACATTCCTCTCAGTTGCACAGTGGTTGGAACATTCATATACCCCCTTATTGTATGAACCAATTGTCACTTAAATGAGTCTCAGAGGTAGCTCTGTGATCTGCACTTCTGAGGGCCATTCTCTGATGGTTTGCACTAGTCTATTCGAGAGCCATATTCTGTCTTAATTGACGTGATTCGGATAGCACAATTGGGATACAATTAGAGAAATAGTTGGCTTTAACCAGCCAGTTGTTAACTATCATCACCATTACAATTTCCAGCCGCATCCCTGCTCATATAAGCATGGGGTAATGTTTCTCAGTGGTGTAAATTTAACTTTACTGCGAATGAACTAATATCAGTGGCAAGCGATATCCGAATCGGTCCTGTGGCCTTTCTTGACCAACACGCACTGACCAGCGTGGTGAAGTATGGTCAAATAATCCCCACAAACTTACATGGCCTGGGGATACCTTTGTCCAGTTTTCATTGTCACCACAGTGCCACCTGGCCAATTGTATTACAAAATCACCTCGTCATATGTATGAAGTAACTTTACACAAATGTAAATAAATGTATGGCACGAACGATGGCTATTTAAAGCCTCGTGTTTTTTTTTTTCTTTATGATGGAATGTTTTTTTAATGAATATAGTTGGACGTTATAGTGGTTTGTGATGTCTTTTGTTGTAAGCAGATATGCATTATTCACATTTTAGGTGGACAACTAATTCACGCAGACTTAAAGATATAAATATTACAATTTCTGTTCAGTATTAAGGGGGGAAGCGGGAAGTGTTTGCTCAAGTCACTTTGTGACATTTCATCTTTACGCGTAGACTGCTAACGATGATTCTTTCACAGCGCGATAGTTGCTCTGGGGTATTAATCTTTACTGCATTTTAAAAGCCAGTAAGATTTAAAACTGATTGCCCTGCTGGCCAAGGTTAAAAGCCAATAAAGTGTCAAAGCGTTTAACTGTTACGATTACGGTGACTGAATTTTACAGCCCAGAAAACGAGATGTACATTAGTGGACTATCAATTTCCTCGTTTAATATAATATGTTTTCTTATGCTTTAATCAGCCATTATAAGACTAAGCACATTAATTTAGTGATACATTTAGCTGACGGTGTATTACACAAAATATGCTGATGAAAGGAAACGAAAAAAACCCTTATTTATTTAAACTGCTCAACAAATTCCACGCAAACCCACAAAATCACACCGAGTGCTGTGGTACAGCGTTCTGGGTATAACGTAGCAGGCACAATTTAGTCCACGGCTGTATGGAGTCATGTCTGTGCCATGTCGGTCCTTGAGGTTGTCTGCCCACACTTCACCAAGCTGGTCTCAAGTGCGAGTTGTGAAGGGCGGTGGAGACCAATACAAGGACCCGCTCAGATAGCGCTCACCACCGATGTTAGCTGGAGCAGGGAATTAAAATTAGGTCGCTGTAATAACTTAAACCGGTGGTTCTCAACTTTTGTGGGATCTTGGCCCCTCAATCTAAACCACTGGTGCATCCCCCCCCCCGCCAATCCTTCCAGGTTATTGATACCACAAATACACAGGGATGACAACACTGACAACACTATGTGTTTAACTTTCTTTAACACCATACGTAGTCATCCGTGCTAATCGGAGGTGCAGGGGAAGGATGACAAACTAAACACAAAAAGCAGTTCTAAAAAATGGGTTTTCAATCTAGATTTCAAAGTCCAAAGGTCACATGTTCACCACTGTAGGCAATGCGACATTAGCAAGGAGCGTGCTTCACGTGTGCCCGTTTGCAGGAAAGCACGTGGAATCTCACGGCGTAGTTCACAACATGCTGTTCGACTCAGAGACCGGAGAGAAGCAAGGTTTTCAGGAAACCCAGATGCGCTCAGAATGGTGGAATGGAACAATTCCACTCTGGATCACAGCCCAAAACCAGGTGACATTCACTGCATCAAAGTACTTGCACATTTGTCAACTTAAAAAAAAAGAATGTTCATTTGTCATTGTCAGTACGGCGATTTCCTATTCACATTAATCTCCATGCTTTGTGCAGGGTCTGAAGACGGGCTCAATTCGCTTCCCTGGGGGTGCTGCCAGCTACTTTAACGAGTCCGTGTACAAGACACTGGGCCGAGACCATCCGAACAGCAACAAGGAGGACTGGTTTCGCAACATCGAATTAGTCATGGATTGGTTCACCAAGGACGAATTGGACTTCGTGACCATGTACCACAGCGAGCCGGACTCCACGGGCCACAAGTTTGGGCCGGAGACGGAAGAGCGGCGGGCGATGGTGCAGCAGGTGGACGAGACCATCGGCTTCCTGGTCAATGCCATCGAGAAGAGCGGCCTGAAGGACACTCTCAATGTCATCATCACCTCGGACCACGGCATGACCACCACTCAGAAATCTCCGGACATCAATGAAATTGTGCTTTCAAAGTTCATCAACTTCAAGGATGACCTCAAGTTTGATCTGGTGGACTACGGAGCGTTTGGCATGCTTCTGCCCAAGGAAGGGAAGGAGGAACAGGTGTACAATGCCCTGAAGAATGCCCATCCGCACCTGAAAGTTTACAAGAGGGAAGAATTTCCAGAACACTTTCACATGAGAGATCAAAGTAGACTCCTACCCATCATGATGTATGGAGACCTTGGCTACTTAGTGAATGGGGTAAAGTGCTTCCGTTATATTTATATTTTAAGTCTCCACAATGTGCAAAGCAGAAACCAAGAGCAGAATAAATAAGTCCCAAACAACGCTTCTTGTTGCTATAACAAAGGGTATTGGCGTACGATTGTTAATGATTATTTTTCCGTAAAAAAATGGTTTTCCGTACGTTTAGAAATGTCTAGAGCAATACACGTCCGACACGATTACCTTTAAAAGTGAAAACTAAAGGTGTTGCCATCGTGTAACAGTCAGCACACTTGCCTTGTGCTCTACGAGCTCGCTGGTTGACCTACCCGGTAGGTCCCAAGTGTTGGGGTAAAATATGGGGACGCCCCACCTCTTCCGACACGCCTGTTCAGTGCAGAAGAGTAGATCAAATATCAAACATCGTCTCGAGTTCCCACTCGCGAGACTGTCAATGGAATGATTTATGGAATCGCTAACCAATTCTGAAGATGCTGAGCCGATTATCGTTAACAAAACCCAGATTTTTTTTGTCATACATTGTCGATGGTATGCATATGTTAGAAATTCAATTTTGATTGAAATTCAGAGCTTCTTAAAAATATATATATATATTATTCCATCGATCCCTGTGCGCAGAGGCTGATATTCCAGTTCAACAAGGGTGAACACGGCTTCGACAACGCGGAGGCGGACATGTGGACCATCTTCCGCGCCTTCGGACCTCGCTTCCGTCAGGGCTACGTGGCGGAGCCGTTCGCCAGCGTGCACGTGTACGCGCTCATGTGCGAGCTGCTCGGGGTGCAGCCCGAGCCGCACAACGGCTCCCTCGCCTTCACCCGGGACATGCTCGTCGACTCGCAGAGCGCGACTCCTGCTAATGTTACTACTTGGGCTTCTTCTCCGGCTACTACTACTACAAAGGCTCCTCCTACTACTACAAAGGCTCCTCCTACTACTACAAAGGCTACTACTACTACAAAAGCTACTACTACTACTACTACAAAAGCTACTACTACAAAGGCTACTACTACCAACTTGCCGGGTATTTATCTACCACCAAATGGTGTTTTTCTTTTTGACTTAAAGCTTTCGTGAACTGCAGGAATTCATATTCTTGGGTCTTTCGGTAAAGTCACGTAGATAGGTTCAAATAAAATAACAAAAAAACTACAATCGCAACACAGGCGTTCGTCATCTTCTTTGTTCCTGATGACGAACGCTGGTGTTGCGATCGAAACGTCGTAGCTTTTGTTATTTTCTTTGAACCTATCTACGTGACTTTACCGAAAGACCCAAGAATATGGTGTTTCGTTTGTTTTTAGGTAGGGTCCACTGAGTCAGGGTTCGATCCCGACACCGACGCCTGCTGTCGATTTAGAGTTTGCGTGTCTCTCGCTCTCTCCCCGTGGTCGCATGGGTTTTTATCTCCGGGCCCTCCGGGTTTTCCATTCACGTTTAGAATGAACGTCACGCGTTTATAGAGTGATTGGCTGCCATCAATTGCCACGTGATGATGATAAGCCACTTCGTTGGGCTATCGTTTGTGGCCAGGGTCTCTTGTTAAAAAAACACATGGGGACATGCTCGTCGACTCGTAGAGCATGCCTATTATTACCGATTTGCCGGGAATATATCTACCTAGTGGTGGACCGTGTGGCTCTCCAGGTAGTTTGGATCCTTGCTCCAGCTTCACTGCTGCCATGAGCCAGTTGATGCATTACATCAGTTTTCCTGAGGCTCACACGGAGATCGAATTCTGTGACTGAAATTCGGAAATGGAGGTGATTATTGGTTGTTGGCCCACTTCAGTGTGGTCGAGCAAGGCACGGTGATCTGCATAGTGAAGTTCACGTGACCATGACCTCCCTGGTCAGGGTCTTTTCACGCAAATGTGACAAGTTATAGGAGCTCACTAACTACTCCTGTTTTCATTCTGAAAAGGTTTGGGGGTGTGTTTTACTTTTCAGGAGCGTCTTATGATCTGGAGATATACAACGTCTATTGAAAACGAAGTATTGTATTTATATTTGATCTTTAAGGTACCATCACAGAATAGAAACTGGCAATATGTATATACATCTTCTGTTATTCTTTGTTAATCAGAAACAATGCATATGTTGTTGTTGGCAGATAAGTCAAATGCTGAGTCCTTCAAAAAACCAACCCATGGAATGAAGGAAGGATTAGTTGCCCTGCTTGCAATGTCCGCTGTAATTTTCTCATCTTCATTGTCACAATAGTCTACAGAGTCTGGAAAAGAATCTTAATCAAGTAAGTGGACGCAATTGATCACATTTTATCATATACCAAAGAAACATTGAGAGCATAGAAATGTGACCAAATCACCAAAAAAATGCACCCCATCACTTCACATCTCGGGCACTAAGCAGGTTTAAACCTGGTTGGGCACTTATATGGGTGGCCTCCAGGGATTTACACTTGGCGTATTGATGGAGTTGCGAGGTGTGACCTCGTATGTGTTGGTGAGTTTTCTATGGGTCCTCCGCTCTCCTCCCACATGAAGCCAAACGTGCATTCATTAAATTGGCCAAACATCCCAATGCAAGAATCCTCCTGAAAAATTCTGGAGACTCAGTGAGGCTTTTACAGGGAAAACAATTGAAGTGATTAAATATGAGAACAAAATTAAGTGTTTGGGCAGATTGTGAATTTATTCATTCTTTTGTAACGTCGCATAATTTAGCAAAATTGATGGTTGATGGTAAGCAAAAAAAAATCTGGATTTTGATTGTGTAGTCTGCAAAAAAGTATAATTGATTAAGGTGCAAAAGGGTGCAATGTGTCCAATTGCATAATGTGCACATGAGATGCTCCTAACTCACATAAATGTCTACCTTTGATATTTTTGCAGGCACAAACAGGAGCCCAAACAGGCAAATGAAACACATGATGAAACACATGGCTGGAAATGGCCTGGTAATTACTGTATTAAAAAAAGATAACATTTTCTACTCTTAACGTTTTTCCTTGATCCTCTTAAGATTTGATTATTTTACACTGTTGTACTCCCATGTACTTTTGTCAATTATTGCACCATTGGATCACAAGAACACATTGCTAATGATGATATACGAAATAAATGAATGAAAATGTAGGTCGTTGCAATGCACAACTGTCATTACAACCCCATAAATTATTATTGCGGCACGTAGAGTTTAATGACTATTTACTTTTTTTAATGTCATCAGAGGAATCGTCGTGAAAATGTGTTATTTCTGACAGTGAACACACGCACCACAAATCATTTTCTATATTATGAATGCAAACACGCCCGATACAATTAATTTAAAGAGACACATCTCTTCATATGAATGTATGCTTCGTGTAAATGTGTGCACGCTCTCTGAGAATAAACACGAAATCTCCCCAGTGAATGTGGCCTCTAGTGGGCACCCACGGTTGCCCAGACTCCTCGATTTGTTCGCTGCGAGGGAGGGCGCGCGGCCGCGGAGGAGTATCCACGTGTTCCACCCGCGGTGAGACGGGGCCTGCTTTGCATATAGAAAGAAGCACGGCTTTGGGGGGGCCCTGAGCAGTGGTTCGCTGATGGCATCAGGGGGGCTCCATATCAACACAAACGACTCCTATTTCCCAGTGTTTGCTGGCAATAAAGCCAGATGTATTGCGCCGAGCCATCGGGCTGCATCTCCCAGGCCGCTGGCCATAATAGAATACAAGCGCGTATTACAAAGAAATAATGTTGACGTATAGTGTGTACAAGACTCCTGTTTTGATAGAATTTATGTGATTATGAATTTGTTTTAGCAAACACTCCCCAACCTATCGATGCACTGTAATAAAGTTTTCATTTTAAGTGCCACCCAAAATCAATGTTGCCGTAAATATAACTATAGTTACCCAGGCCTGGTGGTTCAAAGGAAGAGTGAGCGGCCCGCAATAGAAAAGTTTTGGGTTCAAATCCTGCTTGAGTTGTTCACTCTGCTCATCATCCTCTGAAGTCAATAAATGAGTACCACTTCTTGGGAATGTCAGCAGTGATTTGTCCTATGGATAGACTCACCCCCATCATATCATTTTCTAATTTACAGCACTGACTCAGCTGTAAACAGACGAGCAATCACCTCAATGGTTAATGAGAAAATCACTTGAGTTGTTTTACAGTTGCAGGCGTAGGTAGCAGGTTGCCACGATTGTTCTCTCTGATGGGATATAATGCGCATTGTTTGACATGACCAAAGTTTTGCTTCGTCAAATCCTCATTTATATTCCCATAAATATAAACAAAGAACCCAATAAACATTAAATGTCTGGGCCAAGGTAGTAAGCACGTGGTTGGAATCGTTGGACCAATGTTAGAACGTTTCATGTTTAATGAGAACTCTATTACAAAATATCGTCCCAGGTCTCCATTGCGAAAGTGAAAGACCCGACACATAATGTCCCTGGCTGGAAGCTCATGGGCAACCCTTGACTGCATACACACAAACCATGACAGTCGTGGATACTTGATGATGCTCAAATTTTAAAGTTTAAAACTCTCCGGCAGTGTGTGACTGCTGTCATCCAGAACAGACTGTGGGACATATAACGACTCAACAACGCCCGATTCACAAACATGGAGACATTATCAAAGCCAAATATACAAACCTCGCTACTTTTTGACGCAATTATATGGCTCAATCATCTCGATGCAGGTGTTGCTGTCCATCAACGTCAGCCATACGAATAATATTGCCAAAGTATGTTTCATTGGGCCCGTGTGCACCATAAGGAATGAAACGACCCAAAATATATCTGATCTCGTCAGCCACATTGTTACACACCTGAGATGCGTCTCAGGAGTGTAATGTTATAGTGTTTTTTCCTCTTCTTCTCAGGGATGAATCCTCAAACTCCTGTCATACAGCTCACCTACACACACACGCTGCTCTCTGCACGACAATTATGCATCGATAATAGAGTTTTTTTGGGGTTAGATTGCGAAAGTATATAAATGTTGTGTTGTTAAATCCGCCACCGCCCGCCACAGCCAACTAGTAAGGGTTGTGACGTAAACAGAACGTGGCCAATTCGTCACTAGTAAAGCACATCTACGTCTCTATATAAGGATCGAAACAGGTGGACTTCTCCACAAATCTGTCTGTCGCCTGATGAAGCTAGTTGTAATTACTGGCGAAACGTCGTACTCAGATTGTTAATGTCGTGGCTTGGCACTCCAACACACCGGTTGTTGTGTTCTAATAATATGCGACACTATACACTACACTATACACTACACTACTATACGCTAGTGCTGTACTAGTGACGAATTGGTCACGTCCTGTTTACGTGACAATCCTTACTAGTTGGCTGTGTCGGGGTGGTGGCGGGTTTAACGACACAACATTTATATATTTACGTGATCTAACCCCCAAAAAACCTCTCATGGATGATGATACTGGTAGGAACCTCTGGTTACACCAGCCCACAGGGGATTATTGAGTCCGTCCGTTCGTCGTGCAGCGAGGGGCTGGGTGGAGAGGGAGGGGCTGGGTGGGGAGGAGCTGGGTGGGGCTTGGTGGGGAGGATGGGGAGGGGCTGGGTGGGGAGGGGCTGGGTGGGGAGGGTGGGGCTGGGTGGGGGGTGGGAGGGGTGGGGCTTGGTGGGGAGGGGCTGGGTGGGGAGGGTGGGGAGGGAGGGGTTGGGTGGGGAGGGTGGGGAGGTGCTGGGTGGGGAGGGGGGGAAGGTGGAGAGGGGCTGGGTGGGGAGGGTGGGGCTGGTGGGGGGTGGGAGGGGTGGGGCTGGTCACCCCGTGGTGCCCTTATAAATCTCAACGTTTAACCTACTCACGCCGGCTTGTGCCCGCCCTCACAGTCGGGAATATTTGCGGAATACACCACGCCGCCGTTGACCCTGGCCATTGACCGAGCAACCCAACGTTCCTACCAGCTCCCTCCGCAGGAGGAATGTGTTCATCTATCACGAAAGCCGACGTGTTAAATCTATGCATCGGTGTTGCGTGTTGAATGTCTTCTGGAGGGAAGGGATGTAGGGTAGGGGGGGGGGGCGGAGTTAATTTCGGTCGAAGCTGTCCAGGACCGAGCACCGGAAAATATCGAAACGAACTCCCCCCCCCCGGTCTCTCGCCTCGATCGAAACAACACGAAACGTCGCCGAGCCGTCAGTCGTCAGCGACTCTTCTACGCTGGACAGCGACCTCCCCCTGAACGAAGCGAAAACGACGCCGAGCTTTTGGTGTCGTTTTCATCTTCAGCGCCACCAGGCGAGCAGAGTGCGGAACAAGACGGAAACTGAATTGATGCAAACCCCCACATCACCACCCCCACATCATCACCACCACCACGTTGATTTAACGCGACGATGTTCGTACGCCGAGCAGAGTGGCGGAGTGGACGAACCGGCGAAGCTGTCGGTCTGCCCTAGGACTCGCAGGTAACAACAACAAACGAAATGAAATCAGCAGCAGCAGCATCCACCACCACCACCAAGCGTCTCCTGCCGGGATTCCACTCAAACCTAAGCACCGAATCACCGCCGGTCTAGCAAGGGCCTCGCTTCTCACCACCACCACTACCCATCACTACTAACACCACCACTACTACCACCACTACCCACCACCACTACCACCACCACTACCACCACTACCCATCACTACTACCACCACCACTACTACCACCACTACCCACCACCACTACCGCCACTACCACTACCACCACTACCCATCACTACTACCACCACCACCACTACCACATCACCACTACCACACCACCACTACCACCCACCACTACTACCCACCACCACTACCACCACCACCACCCACCACCACCACCACCCACCACCACTACGAGCACCATCCCACGTTGGTTTGTGTGGGGTCGTGTGAGGTGAGGCGGGTTAGTTTTGGCTGGGTGGTGGGTGGTGGTTTGGCGACATTCAGCCCCGAAACGAACACCCCCAGGGTTCGATCTCTTGAACCGATGCTTAATCTAAGTTGTCTTGTGGTTGTTGTTGTTTGACTTGCATCCCACTGGGATTATTGCACACAACGTTGGTGTACGGTGCTTTTTTCTGCAATATTTCGCTGTCTTTTCTTGGATTTTCTGTTTGCACAGTCACATAGTCACTTTAAGATGTTTTCTTGTTTTTGTTTGTTGCGGTTGCACCTGATTCAAGAGCCGAATGGCTCACAGGGCTATTACCTAATAAATGAACTTTAAACTTGCTGCTGCTGCTTCTTCACGGAGCCATGAACCGTAGCCCCCTCCAGTGACGTTTATAACGGGATCCCCCGTGGAACATGCTACGGTCATGCTAAGCTGACACGGCATGCGCACACACATGCACATGCATGATGGAGCAGCGGGGCAGTAGTCACGACGGAGGTTGTTGTTACTTGTGCGGCAGATATCGCGGCTTGGGGGGAGATCTCCGGCTGCCGCTCCACTGCTGGATGGAACGGCCGCTTTTCGAACGTTTGTGTTGTTGTGTGTGTTGTTGTTGTGTTGTGTGTTGTTGTGTTGTGTGTATTGTTGTTGTGTGTGTTGTTGTGTTGTGTGTGTTTTGTTGTGTGTGGTGTTGTGTGAGTTGTGTGTGTGGTGTTGTGTGTGTTGTAGTGTGTGTGTTGTGTGTGCGTGTGTTGTGGTGTGTGTGTGTGTGCGTGTGTTGTGGTGTGTGTTGTGGTGTGTTATGTATGTGTGAGTTGTGGTGTGTGTGCGTGTTGTGTGTGTGGTGTGTGTTGTGTGGTGTGTGTTGTGTTGTGTGTTTGTTGTGTGAGTTGTGTGTTGTGTGTGGTGTTGTGTGTGTGTTCTGTAGGTGTTGTGTGTGTGGTGTTGTGTGTGTGGTGTTGTGTGACTTCACCATGCGCGCTACAGTCGTGCTGCTGTAGAGTGTACAGTGTTAAGTTACCGTACAGTACAGTGTTAAGTTACTGTACTGTTGAGTGTACAGTGTTAAGTTACTGTACTGTTGAGTGTACAGTGTTAAGTTGCTGTACAGTAGAGCGTACAGTGTTAAGTTACTGTACTATTTAGTGTACAGTGTATACCAACACGGCAGAGACCAGCGTGGTGAAGTATGGTCAAACAAACAAGCCTCGTGGCCGACACGGCGTGGAGAGGGCCTTCATCCAGCAGTGGATATATAATGGACTGACCACTCGGCAAAGAACAGTGCTTAGTAGTACTATAATAGTTATGGTATCATGCTCTACTGAATGTCCTCCCACTCTACAGGATACGATTGTTGTTTTGTTTTAACGAATTGAGTCACAAGACTGATTCTCTGGAGGGTCTTGCATTGGGATGTTTGGCCACCCACGATACAGCAGTTCACGCACAGAAAGTATTTGAATACCAATTATTTTCTCATGAATTGCCTTGTCTTAACAGAAGTACTGCCATGTGAAGCCATTGCT